ATGGATATAATGAGGATTCCCTTTTGCCTCCAGTTTTGCAAAAGCTATGCAAACTTGCCTCAGTGTACCACTCGGTCCAGGAATGTTTGATTAAAGTGCAGGGCCTACTACAGAAATAGCCAGACATGCCCTTCAGATCAGACAAGAATAACAATTAAAAGGTCTTCACTTTCATACCTCATCATTGCTGCAGTCATATACAGTGACTAAGTGCTAAATTACTGTGATTTCCACAGTTAACGAGTGGCGCATGACACTGTTAATCAACCAGATCCGCTTATCTCAAAGAAAGTCCTGTCCTTCCCTTAAGCAATTGTGAACCAAAGACTAACATTTTCCTAGCACTCTATGTATAACCTACATCCTTAATCCCATATTTTGTTTATAAATATTGTGTAAAAACATTGTATGTATTTTATATTTACCAGTAACCTCCTGTTCTTGCTGTGCTCTTCTGAGCTGCTCTTTTAATTTTCTTAACTGTTCCTCTCTGTGTTCCGCAAGAGCTTCTGTATTAGCAATTCTATGCAAGGAAAAAGAGGAAATCATTATTTTCAGTTTACCACTTTGTCATTTTGCACTTTTAAATTTGCCTGCTCTCCAAATGAGAAATTAAATAGATCCAAATATACTGATAAATTAGTGAAGATAGATTAGAGGTGGAGCAGCCTCTGTCCACAGGGAGCTTGAACCCCACCCCCCAGACAGGGGCTGTGCCGGATACCAGCCTCTGTCTGGAGTGGACCCATGCTTGAGAGAGGCAGCAACGCAGAGGCAGGGAGACACTGAGGAGCCCTGCTGGGGGTGGATTGGGGCGTTAAATCAGCTTTTAAACTGGCTCCCACTTCCCCTATCTCTTGCTGCATCTGATACAGATGCAGCAAAGGGAGGGGGGGGGGGCGACATGCATGTAGTTGACAAGATTAACTGATAAGCCCAGGCTTATCGGTTAATGTTATAGTCGACCACACGTTGACAGCCCTAATCAGAAGAGTCTTTATATGACCATCTCTTTCCTTTTTAGTTTGCAGCCTAAAAGATTTGCAAATCTGGCACTTGTCACTAATGTTTGCTTCTCCCAAGCACCATAAACAGTTTTTGTGAAGGTGGCTAATGGGCACAGGCCTGTGGTAGCTAAACACACAACATAAAGCTGGGTGGAAGAGAAGAGGGGATACTGTGGCATGGCCCATCCTGAGGCAACATCCCAAAGGGACTTGCAAACTCTCTTAAATTATGTATGATTAACAGAACAGAGGGAAACTATTTGCAGGCAAAACAACAAAGATAAGAAAGATGTGACAGCAATAGCTGTGGCACTGCAGTTCCAAGCACCATGGCTACATCTAGACTGCAAGCCTTTTTTGAAAGATACTTTTGAAAAAGCTTCTTCCAAAAAAAGAGCATATAGACTACAACCAGTACTTTCAAAAAAGCAAGCAGCTTTTTGGAAAGAGATTACCCAGGCAGTCTGGATGCTCTCTTTCGAAAAAGCAGTTTGCATTACATAGCGCCTTTTTTTGAAAGGGCACTTTTGAAAAAAGGCATTATTCCTCGTAAAATGAGGTTTTCCACAGTCAAAAAAGCTGCCACGTTCTTTCAATTTACTTTTGAAAACGCGGCAGCAGTCTAGATGCAGGGGAAGTTATTTAAAAAAAAAAAGGCCACTTTTTTTTATTTATTTTTTTAAAAACACCCTGTAGTCTAGACACACCCCATCACTGGTGGCAAGAAGGAACTGAGGATGGAGGGAGTTCAGCAGCACCTTATATAGCACAGCACGTGCACGCTGCGCTGGGGAAGCTGGAGCTGGTCCCCTATGGATATTGCTGAGGGAAAAACCTTCCAGCACACACGAGCAAGCAGTTGAAGAATTAGAACTCTTTACCAAGGAAGCACAAAGTATTTAAATTTAGACAGTCCCCCTCCTTACGACAGAATAGCTCTTTAATTTCTGCATAGATTAAAGATACTCAAAGCCCTCTTCAAAACCATGTTTGAGCACCAAATACTTAATAAGGCATGTATTTTCAATGCAGTTTCTATCAGTACCTGAGAAATCTCTGTAGACACTACGGATATATTCAAAACAACTTGTTTTTTATACAAGTTCTAAACATCAGATCTTATTCTTCCCAAAAGTGAATTGGGAAATTACAAGATGTATACTACAGTAAATACAAAAACAAACACTTACTTCTGTTCAAAAATGCTGGATTGTTTCTTTATTTCCATTTCAGCTTTCACCAACTGAGTTTTGAGATTATCAATTTCTTCTTTATAGAACGTGGGACCTTTATCTAATTTTGCCTGATATGTTGGGTGGGAATAAAAAGGAAATTTAGTGAGAAGAAAGTTAGATCTGTACAAGGTAATTAGGGACATTTAAAACCCATTTTACAAAGTCTGATTCTAGTGGTGTAACTTGGATTCCAAGCTTGGTCACTTGCTGCTTCACTGAGAATAATTTGAAGATAAAGGCTGAATCATAGGGAAATAGTGCAACAGATTAGCTTCCAAATGTTGACCTCCAAGAACCTTTTCAGATTTTCTCCCACCTCTCTAGTAGAAAATAGCATTGAAGTTCTGCAATGAAACTAAACATACCTTGAGCGTCTGCTTTTCTGTTAACTCTTTCTTAAGACACTTCTCAGTCTCATTTAATTTAGCCTGAAGTTTGGTAAATTCACTTGTAGCAGATTTCTTTCTAATCTCTGTTTGTAACATGGCTATTCTCTCTTCTTTCTCCTCGACATTTTTTTCTGCTTTATTTACTGCATTTTCCAGCTTTTGGATTGTTGTTTTCATAATCTTGGGAAAAATATCAAGTTATTAAAATCCTAGCAATTACAAATGCACCTGGCAGGTTTCTGCTGCTCACCTGTAGCAACTACTGTAGACTCCTGGGCTTTCAGTGGGACATATTTCTAGATATTCCAGCATGCTCAAAACTTAATAGGTAAGTACCTAGTTATTTCTACTTAAACAAAAACAAAACAAAAAAACCCACACCCACTGAAAAATAAATAAATAAATAAATAAATAAATAGTTTCTAAATTCAGTCCTGATCCAATAGGACCTTTCTGAATTGTTTGAAATAAAGGCATTTAACTTTTTAATTGAAGATTTCTTCTGTGCCAATCACTAGTCTAACACATACGGACTATCTGACCATACATAGCCTTACAGCAATTGCACTGTTAGGCACCATATACTTTTAATATATTTAAACATCTTCAAAATGCCCTCAGTTGGTTCACATTCATATACACTATTGTAAATCTAACCTGTGGCCATAGTTTCAACTCTTCACAGTCTAAATAAAACCACTTTATTTTTGGATATGGAAACAGCTACAAAAAAGGTAAATGTAATCTGGAGCAATGGGGTGGATAGGAGAGATTTATATTAATAATCAATTATCTAGTCTCACTTATTTTCTTACATGTTTTTAAACTCAGTTTAAAGTACCCTGGGAAATTTCTCAGCTTTGTTTACAGATGATTTTGTATTTCTGTTGATTTAAAATTGACCTAGCATAACATATTACATACCTTTATATCTTGTTCTGTAGCTTTTAATTGGTTAAAAAGCTTATAGTTTTCTTCTAGAGCAAGATTAGCAACACCACAAGGTGCCAGTTGTTCCTTTACTGTCTTCAGTTCCTCAAGTAACTCTTCAGTTTTCTGTTTTCTTTGTTTCAATTCAATTTCTGAGTCCTTGCGATAGTTGGCAGTTCTGGTATCCATCTCTGAGGAAGCTTGAAGGACTATCTGCAAAATTAAAAATAGTGCCATGCATGTAACTGTAAAACTCAGTTTTAGAACCAGCCATAAATAAAATACTGTAAAGATATATGCTAAGAACCCTGCCCACATATTTAATTTGTCAAAGTACATACATCCACTTGTGGGAAAATGGCAAAATAATTATACAGAAACTGGCTCCTTAAAAAGAAGTTAAATATATGCATTTAATGTATATTGGAAATAAATTATATAAAATTGGAGCTAGCCCTTGAGACCCATCTGAGGTACAAACTGGATTTTCAGATTCGGATGCCTCTCCTCAAGATCTTAAAATTGGGGGTGTCAAGAAAGATAGGAAAAACAGCTTCATAAGAGAACTCAGAACTTCTCATCCTTAAACTTTGACTCCCTCTCCTAAAATACTCAAACTATATATTACTGGAAAGGTGTGGAAAACAACAATTTTTTACCAGATTATCATATCAAGTCTTGAAGTAGTGTTGGATAAACAAAAAAAACAGTATCCTAGATGAAGAGTTTGAAGAAACAGAAGTGACTGGATGAAGCCCTAAAGCTGTGCAAACAGATATATGCACACATACTGAAGTCAATAGACGACTTTTCCCTGCATTTCCAATGGGCTTTGGGGTAAGGTCCTTAAAATGAGCCCAGATTTTGCCTGTCCCTTTGCTCTACTCATGTTACCTGTAAACTATACTTACTCCTCTGAAATGCCTATAAATAGATTGCGCACTTCATATGAATTGTCACATGTACCTAATTACCATAAATCTCTGGAGATTTAAGCCATATTAAACCATGTCATTTAATATAGAATGTGTAATTCTAAATCACACTACTGTATTATCAGTTTACTTTGCTTTTGCTGGAATAGCTTTATGTGTAAATTCATTTTTGAGACTGACTATGGGGCTCTTTTATAGAGTATAGTATTTTATATTGGGCCACAACTTATAGAACATCTTTTCATGAAGCATGAAAAACTCATTGTTTAAGTTTAAGGCAAAAGTCATTTACAGTTTCAGAGAAGTCATGAGGGTCTGACAAAAATCTTAAGCAGGCTAGAGAATTGATAGTAGGGTCAAACCTAAGCCACGTTTAGTAACTATAGTGCATAGCTATGTAAACTTCTCTGGTATGCAGTGGTGCACCTGGGTTTAAGGAGCAACAAGATACTGTTAGACTTTCTTTTTTACTATAAATGAGGTTGGTTTGCCTGCCCTTATCCACCCCTATTACGGGAGGGGGGGCGGAAGGGGAGGAGAAGGGAGAAGCAAGTTCATGGGAGGGGGAAAACAGCCATTTTCTGGATGAAAAATCCTTGGAGCTGTCTGGCCTCAAGTTCAATATACATCAAGAACTTGCAGAGAGTAACACAAAACAAAGACAAATGCACTGTAAAATTTCCAAGTAAATCTTCACTTTACAGCTCAATACAATATGAAGATACTAATGGAAGTTAAATGGTTTGCCTAAACACAATATACAAATACTTGTTAACACAAAAATACTCCCAGAAAAAAAAAAAGCTGGTTGTTTTATAGATTTCAGAACTGTGTTGAAAGACAAGCTGTAACAGTAAATTACTTAGCAGGAACTTTTACCTTGACTTTGGGTGTCCAGAATTTAATCACTTGTAAAAGCCTCTCATTGTCTTGCTTTATTCCTTCTTTAAGTTTTTCTACATCACAATGATTTTCTGAACATGTTTCCAAAACCTGCATGGCTTCTTTTCTAGCACTCTGTTGCTGTTGAAGCTCAGCCTCTATGCTGAACAGCCCAGTTTCTATTTCTGACATGTCTCTGAGAATGTTCTGCATTAAATAAATAAACAAATAAAATAAATAAAAATAAAAAAATAGAAAACAAACGATTTACCAGTTTGAGCACACCACATTGATTTTCACCAATTAAATGGCTCAAATAACTTTACTTATTATTATAGTAATTTACAAATATATTTGTTAGTAAACACAGTATTTGCTTTCTTCTTTATAAACATTCTAATAAACTTAGTGTCACTTCATAAATAAATTGACCACTTAATTCTGATCAGATTGCTGCCATAAGATTAAAACAGGTGAATTACACTTAATAGTGAAGGCTAATGTCAATTATTTTCCTATAGCTTATACTACAGCACAAGTCCCCTGCAAATAAAAGCAACTGCCCAGTGAAGCAGCACATCCATGTTGTAATATTTCCCAACCAATAGTGTATAAATATTAAAACCTATTTCAGTCACATCATTTAACTGAGTGCTACCTTGATGTTTAAGTCCAATTTCTGCTGCAATTCATGGTTGTTTAACTCTTGGAAAGCTGTTTCATCCTGTTTTGAATAAGTCCTCTTGAGGCACCGAATTTGGAAGACAAGCTCATCCTGTTTTCTCTTCTCATCAAGCAATTCCATTTCATGGTTGTTAATGGCAGTATAGTGTTCTGCCTTCTTCCAGGAAACACGGCTGAACAGAAACTATTGAATATGAAAGGGTCTGCATTAAGGATACCTTGGGTCTAGATAAGATGCTTCATGCACATGCAAAAATTTTAAAAGGTGATGTATAGTAAGAGACCTCAAAAAGCCTCATCTCATTTTTGCATTATGTTTGTAAAGAATATTTATTTCATTGCTGTAGAAAAGCTCGAAGAGTTTAAAAACATTTGGACTAGACTGACTGAGGTACTATACTACATAGCTTGCACTAACACCGGAGCGCCAATATAAATCTAAGTACTTTGATTTCAGAAGAGATACCCACAACAGCAGTGGAGACAGGACAAAGTTGTTGAGAGAAAACAAACAAAAAAAAAAAAACCCAAATACACAAAAAACCCGCCCTGGGGAAAAATCGATGCTAGTACATCCGTCCCAGGGCACGGATTTCTTCTCTTTTTTTTTGCTCAACAACTTTGCCCCGGCTCTTCATGCTGTCTCCACTGCTACTGTGGCTCACAAAAAAAGCACTGAGAAGGGGTGAGAGGTGCAAGCTCTGGGAGGGAATTTGGGTGCAGGAGGAAGTAGAGCATGCTGGCTCAAATTAATTGTGATTAGAGCTAAGAGTTTAGAGTGTCATGGTGTTGCCATGGACTTGCTTTGTGCCCTTGGTTGATTTCCTTCCTGTGCTCTTTCTGTAAAATAGGGTTGCTGCCTACATGCCAAGAGAGGTTGAGGTATAACAGAGCAATATTTTTGATGTACTAATTTCTCTTCTGTGTCACTTTATTACAGTACAGTACAGTAACTCATAAGCAGGGCTCTGATTCTGTCTACTGTAGACTTCTAAGATCAGGGTCTATGTGCTGATGTAATTAGGTGGCAGAATTCATCCCTCAGGTTGTCCATTGGCTTTCATGATATTACACTGGGGAGGGATGATCCTGGCCCTCTGAATCTCATTCACTACTTGTTGTGTTAGAACACAAAATGTTTCAGCATTGTCTTTATTTATAAGATGGGCGGGGAAACTGTTTTGAATCAGGGGGTCACAGACCCACAGAAAAGTCAGTCGGGGCCACATAAGTGAAATGCAAAAAAAAACCCCCAACCACTCCAACCCCCGCCCTCACTATTGTGGCCCCAACTGTGCTGGCAGGGGAAGGGGACTTGGGCAGGGTACTCATGGGGAAAGGGGGAGGAGGGAACAGAGACAGATGGAGCCAGTACCTTGGGATCCAGAAGCACACTGGCTGCTCTTCCCTTCTCCTCCCCTCTCCCAGGCACCCCCCCCTGCTCTAACCCAATCCTCCTCCCATTCCCCAGAGCCAGGCACCCCCCCCCCCCACCCCACCCCTCCGCGATATATAGCTCCCCTCTATACCAATCCCCCTGTCCCGCTCTAACCTAATTCTTCGGTCCTGGAGGTGGAGCCGCCACTACAGCCACATGTCTCCCTCCAGGCGCTGGGGTGTATGCACTGTGTGGCTGGCCTGGAGATGTGCTGGCTGGGATGCCTTGCGCACTCCCCTCCTCCCCACCCAATCCTCCTTCCTTTCCCTCCTATATAGCTCCCCTCTATACCAATCCCCCTGTCCCGCTCTAACCTAATTCTTCGGTCCTGGAGGTGGAGCCGCCACTACAGCCACATGTCTCCCTCCAGGCGCTGGGGTGTATGCACTGTGTGGCTGGCCTGGAGATGTGCTGGCTGGGATGCCTTGCGCACTCCCCTCCTCCCCACCCAATCCTCCTTCCTTTCCCTCCCCCAGACTAGAGTCAGGCACACCCCCCACACCAACCTAAATCTTGGGTCCCGGAGCCACTGCTACAGCTGCGCGTCTCCCTCCAGGTACTGTGGCGCGTGAGCTGAGCGGCTGGCACACCGTGCCCCCCACCTCCCGAGCCAGACACTTCCCTTCCCCGCTCTAACCCAGTTCCTCTCTCCCACTACCCTTATGCCCAGGTCCCTGAGCTG